ATGGAATGAAATTCATAATCAAGAGTTCAAGAATTTAAAATATGAATTAACCAAATCTCCAGTTTTGACCTATTTTAATCCAAAAAAACCAATTACTCTTACAGTTGATGCATCTAAATTTGCAGTTGGTTCAGCTATTTTACACGACAACAATCCTATTGCGTACGCCTCAGCGTCACTGACATACACTCAAAGAAACTACGCTCAGATTGAATAAGAGCTTTTTGCAATTTTGTTTGGTTGTACCAAATTTCATGAATATCTTTATGGTTTAAAAGTTTTAGTTGAGACCGACCACAAACCACTTGTATCATTGTTTACAAAGCCATTATACAACATTCCTGCCAGGTTACAAAGATTTATGTTACGTCTACAGTGTTATGACCTAAATGTTCAATATAAACCCGGAAAACATCTTTATATTGCAGATACGCTTTCTAGAGCACCACTCAGAGAACATGCTTTAAATGAAATTGATAATGATTTGTCACTACATTGTGATTTGTTAATGAAAAGTATAAATTTATCTGATAGTCTTCTTAGTGAAATCAGGGAAAACTTAATTAACGATGAATCACTGCAAAAAGTGATTTCGTATATCAAAAATGGTTGGCCTTCCAATAAAAAATTAGTTGATACACTGGTTATGCCATATTATAACATTAAAGATGATTTGTCTTTTATCAATCAACTTTTATTAAAAAATAATCGTATAATTATACCACATCAACTTCGTCACAAAACATTAAATAGTCTACATGAAGGACACATGGGAATTCAGCGTTGTCAGAATTTAGCTAAAAGTTCTGTTTATTGGCCAAATATTAATCACGATATATTTAATTTAGTTTCTAGTTTTGAAATTTGTGCTAAATACAAAAATTGCAATGGCAAACAAGAGCTACTGCCTCATGATATTATAGAGTTGCCTTGGTATAAAGTGGCTTGCGATATTTTTGAATTTGAAAAGAAACAATACCTTTTGGTTGTTGATTATTATTCAAAGTACATTGAAATTGATATTTTAAACATGGGTTACTCTAGCAAGCATGTCATTACAAAATTAAAATCTATTTATGCCAGACACGGCATTCCTAAAATTTTTGTTTCAGACAATGGCCCTCCTTATAATTCAAAAGAATTTAATCAGTTTTGTAATGATTGGTCTATTGAACACATAACATCGAGCCCTCATTTTCTGCGATCTAACGGCATGGCAGAGCGTTCAGTTCAAATTGTAAAAAAATTATTGATAAAATGTAAAGAAACAAATTCAGATTATTACACAGCGTTATTGCATTACAGAACAACTCCTAAAGGTAATTTACCTAGTCCTAGTCAATTATTGATGTCACGTCAGTTAAGAACAAAATTACCAACTATAGATACAAATTTAGAACTAAAAATTGTGAATAATGAAAAGTACAAGATTCAAGTTGAACAAAATATAAAAAAAATGTCTGAAAATTTTAACAAAAAAGCCGTCAAATTACAACCATTTTTTCCAGGTGAAGATGTCATGTTTAAGCGTACACCGCTTTCAGTTTGGTATCCTGCAACAGTTGTAGAAAAATGTAAAGAACCAAGGTCATTTTTGGTAGAAGACAATGATGGAGTGATTTATCGAAGAAATAGAGAACATTTAATGAAAAGACAAAGTGTTTTAGACAAAATAGATGAAGAACGAGAGACTGTAAATCCAAATCAAAGTCCTGTTATAGATCTAAATTTAAATAATGAAAAAAGTGCAAATCAATATGTTACTCAAAGGGGAAGAAATGTGGTAGCACCTAATAGACTAAAATATGAATAATATGAAGATTAATATATGAATATCAAAAATTTGCTATTGTATTATTATATTGTATATACTTATTATTATATTATTAAAATAGACTAAAATATGAATCATAGGTTTAATATTATATTATTATATTGTATATATTGTATATACTTATACTTATTCTTATATTATTAAAATAATATTAAAATAGACTAAAATATGAATTATAGATTTAATATTAATATTAATATATAAATATAAAAAAAAAAAAATAAAAAAAAAGGAAGATGTTGTGAAGTTTAAAATAAGTACTCTTCATGTAACTCTTATAAGTAAAACTCTTATACATATTCTATATTTCACATTATTGTATTGCACATTATAATATAATAAAGACAGTCGTTACTAAACAGTACAGTAGGTAGGTGACGTTGTCGTCTCACGTTGCACGTTCTATAATGTAATGATTATAAAAACGTGTGTATACCGGCTGCGCCAATTAATGTTGTGGATCCGAGCAGAAGTTGTTGCTTCCTCTTTAACCAAACAATATACACCTAGTTGAGGATGTTGAGGTGATGGTGATGATGATATAGTCCTCCCAGAAAAACCCGTAAAAATAATACACTTTTCTTTAGTTATACAATGACACAATTACATTATTTATTTCCAATATATATCAGCGCTACTACGCTTCACTTTTCACTTTTTTACACTCTCCAGTTCAAATTTTGAACTCGTCTTATATACCCAAACTTGATGCAAAAATCCAATATATGACCTAGTTACTTTATTGGGTTTTTCCCATAGTTGTATAATTTATTTTGCTAAATTCGCAAAGTTTTATTATTACAAGAATGCTCCACATATTTTTGCAATTCTTCCGTATTCAATATTTTCAAAGTCACTTACATCATGACACCAATTACTAACCAAATACCAAAAATCAGCATTTCTTATCGTCGAACTGACGGTCTGATGCTTTGGTTCTAGTCAATAACTGCCCAGATGCAAACAACCTTGCCTATTTTTAGGAAAATATACGATCAACTAAAATCGTACACAAATAAAAATATTACACGTATTTCACAGAGAAATTGCAAAACGTAAAGTTAAATGGACTAATTATTTAACTCATAACACGAGGAATTACTCTTGCCAACAAATGTTACTTCGGGCTAAGTAAGCAATTGAGAAATAAAGCCCTCTCTCGACAAACACAAATCACGCTCTACAAATCCCTTATCATGCCTGTCCTGCTATATGGTGCAGAAGCTTGGACAATTACCAACAGTGATGAGAAGGCGTTAGGTGCATTCGAGAGAAAAATTCTTCGGAAGATCTATGGTCCCTTACGCGTTGGCGACGAGTATCGAATTACATGGAACGATGAGCTGTATGAGCTATACCGCGACATTGACATAGTTAAGCGCATAAAAATTCAGCGGCTACGCTGGCTTGGTCATGTCGTGCGAATAGAAGAAAGTGCTCCGGCTAGAAAGGTATTTGATTCGATACCCGCAGGTGGAAAACGCGGTAGAGGACGTTCGCATCTTCGGTGGAAGGACCAGGTGACCAACGATTTGGGGGCGCTCGGTACTACCAACTGGCGTCAGAAGGCAATTAATCGGGCTGACTGGCGGAGGCTACTCGACGCGGCCAAGGACGACATACGTCTGTAATGGCCAACTAAGTAAGTAAGTAAGTAAGTAAGGCACTTGAACTTATTTGCGTTTAAGTTTTAATGAGCACTTGAACTAATTAAAACTCAAGGAATGTTTGGTATTGAATTGAAAGTTTATTAGAAAATGTTGTGCTTTTATACAAATTTGGCAAGGTGTTGATACATACAATTCCCACGATAATGCTCTATACCTTAAGCTGCATTAAAGTAGCGATTAGATATCGTTCAGCTTAGTCGTGGGAACGGTCACAGTTCTCATGGAAATTGTATGCATTGACAAATAAGAATATTACTTGCGCAATTTCCTTAGCAACCTGGTACATGCTTGTAAACTTATTTTCTTTTAACCTTGAATTAAGTTCATATAACAGCTTGCTTTACAAACATAATTATTATTTAATAAGTACAATACTGACCTTGCACAAGCAAATTTTAATTTCTCATAATGTTCTATATTAAAGAATTGCACATGCTAAATGCATGGCTTGTCTGCAGTTTCATATGACGAGCAAAGTGTGCTCGTGTGATATACAACTGTTGTTGTTGTTTTGATAAATTTTGATATCTTAACCC